GCACATGTTTTAGATTTATTTGAATTTACGTACGCTTCAATAAAAGCATTTAGTAAAATAGTGCAGCAATTTAGAAGTCCAAGCATTTTCCAGATATGACACAGAGTCATTGTGATATTTTCTGTATTGGCATGTCAACTAGACACTGAATATTTTGCTTGTGAACAAGAATTAATGTGTCCAATTTGAACCTTACCTTATGTTTGATTAAAAAAAAGTGAATAAACGTCATCTCACCTTTCTTCATTCTGCCAATATTCTACCTCCTGAAGCACTGCACCTGTTCCTGTCTTCCTCCTGTTACATCCATCTGTGGTTATTTCCTCCATATCATGGTTCCAATGATCTAAAAAAANTCTTGCGTTACATTCAGCTAATTTTAGTTCAGTGCACTGTTCAAATAATAACATTTGCACATGGTAGGTATACTGCGGGCAAGTCTAAAAAACAAGACACGTATGTTTTGGAAATTGGAGACTTCAATTTTTTTACATTTGGTCACTCAATCCACGACTGTTTGTGGGACACTGCTGTGCGCAATTGGCTGCCGCGTTTTGCTTACAAAATATATAGTCAATTCACTTTATAATATTGTCTATGAAGTGCTCCACCACGTGATAAGGCGCTTCATCAAATGCAAGGATTATTATTATAAAAAATGGAACTGCATTTTTTCAGTCAAATGTTTTAACACACCCAAAAATGAAACATATGATGCACATCTAACAAAGGCTCACAACACAAAGGTCTTGAAATATAGAGCACAAATATAGAGCAAACCTATTAGTGAAAATAAACAGCTGAAAAATAATTTTCATGGAATCATTACCAAGTAATCCAAGTGCGTGTTGGAGATCGCATAGCACTATTTTGACAAAGAGTAGGGAGATTTCTGAATGACCTGTCCAATAATACCTCCACATCGAAAATTCACACACAAAAAAAATTGCTTTTACTGCTTGTGGGAAGCTGCTGCTTAAAATAAGCTGCAGTTATAAAGTAACCCACTGTACAAAGCACTTTGAGATGATTCAATGTAATAAGGCACTAAACCAAATGACTGCTCAGTACTGTATTAGTACAGGGGCTAATTAAGTTACCAGTAACAATCATTATTTTAATGTTTTTTAATCTGTCAAATGCATTGTAGAATCAAAATAACAGTATATTGATAGATTTCAGATTGTTTCTATTGAGTTTAAATGAGTGGTTCAATACATGTATTGTAATTACTCAGATTTTCTACCATGTGGTAGATTAATAACATAATTTTATGTGTAACATTTGAATAACTGCAGATCCAACTAAACACTCTTGTTTTTAGTGTAATTTGTGTAGCTGTATTTATCTATTCATTCTGATATAGTTTCTCGATATTAAAGATTTGAATCAATTGCTGAACATAGCCACATTTTATTTTAAACAGGATTTCATTAAATAATCAAATCAATGGAAACAGTCATTCTTCCCACTCAGCTACTGTTATGCCTGCAAGCCAAAGCTCCAACATGTTGGATGTTTTTGGTTGGATAAGCAATGGGAAGCTTGCCGAACAGACCTCGCAAAGGTAAGCTATCCAACTGTAGCTAATGAAACTCCCAACAGGACCTCAACTCACATTTTGGAGTTCTTAAGCCTTGGCTTTTGCCAACCTGTGCCTATTACTTTCTGGAATTAGGTAACTTGGGTCTGTCCCTCCAGAAGGAGATTGCACACTCCATTCCAGACAAATGGGAAATTTCAATAGGTGATATGGGTATGTGGAACTCTGATTGGATACTCTTAAATATGGGTTTCTACATGTCAGAACAAAATAAAAATCCAACAGCTTAAAAAAATTGATGATTATGGCAAATGTTCTTTGTTTCACTAGTTTAAGAGAACAATTGCAGAAAAATAATAATCTTTTTTGCATTATTGAACTATACCCTGACACCCAACCAATAATATTTAGAATAAATGTGTATTGATGGAAAATGATTTGGGTTATACAGTGGCAGTTCATTGAAATCAGATATTTCTTTCCGGGGGTGGAATAACCGCTTAAAATCAAAAATGACTAAAGGAAATAAATACATTCTGCAGGTGAAAAACTATTTGGTTAACCACAGTGCCCTCTTGTGACCACTCACTGTATTTGGCTTTTCCTGGGTTTTGCATTCTTTTATGGTCATATTGAATGGCTTTCATAATCTGCTGAGCATGTGTAGATAAGTGCTTGTGGTAAAGATCCAGTCCAACATAACTATAAGGCTCTCTGTGCTCCATCTCTCATCCAGGTTACTAACCAAATAAAAAAAAAACAAATTACTGATCCAACAGTATTCTGGTTTTGTCCTTTGACCTTACTTAGAATACAAGCACAAAATGGCTAGAAAAACTAGCATTTCCTTACCGCAAATTATTCATAGAAACCATAAATCAATTTGACCAGTGCTTTAAATATATATATCCTGACCGAATTATACACAACACTTAACAATTCAACAATAAACAACAAAGGAGTTCATACATTAAGGAAACTTTAAGGGCAGTGACTTTTAAACAGTATTACAAGTGCTCTAAAAATATCCAATAATCCATATAATCAATTAGAGTAATATTAAAGCTGGCAATTCATGATTACATACCACACAAGAAGATTTTTTTCTTCATTTTATTGAACATGAATTGAACTTACTACACTTAAAGTAACAAGTGGTACTGCACATTCATGTACAGGGTGACCAAAAAATTGTGATACTATTACAATGCCTAATAAGTCTTTAAAAATTTTTTAGATAATAGGGTAGCTTCCCAACTTTTTGATCACCCTGTATTATACACCTGATGATTTTCCACACATCAAATTCACTACAGAAGGAATCAGATTAAGCTTTCCCTTAGCAAGGTAGTGAAAATGGAAGGTCAAACTTTCACTGAGGTCCAACGTCTACTCTCACACCCATGCTAAATGAATATTTTGCATTAATCTTTACAGTACATGATTTTTTTTGTTGGTGTACAAGCTCACCCCCCCCTTAAACCCAATTAGACTGAATCGCGTTCCACAAAGGAACCAGGGTTAATCTTCGCAGAACATATGGTACCGCAGGGAAGCAGACACAGAAGTCTCCATGCCTTGAAACATTCCATCCAGGAATGTTTATTAAAAAAAGATAAGGGAATTAGTTATACTTTAAAAACTCTCTGCATTTGTGGATAATACGAGACGATCAGAACAACTATAAAAATCATTATTCAAGACAGGAAGGAACAAATCAAATATAGGGCTTCCTGTGCTGTGTTTATGTGCACAGCATGCGGGAAATGACATCAGCAACGACCCAGTAAATGGGAAAAGAGCCAATATTTTCACATTTAGTGTCACGTTTGTTTCAACACAAGGCTCTGAGTTTATGAATCTAAACCACTGTATTATAACGAGGATGCCCCTTAACTATAGGCCAGTAAATTTAACATTAGTGATTAAATGTTACTAGAATCCATCATTATAGAAAAAGCAATTTAGCACTGGAATTAAGTGTGATCTGATCATAATAATAATCCTTGCATTTGATATCGCGCTTTTCACGTCTTCTCGACATCTCAAAGCGCTTCACAGAATAAACTGTAAAGTGAATTGACTGTATATTTGTGGGCGAAACGCGGCAGCTAATTGCGCACAGTAGTCCCACAAACAGTCGTGGATTGAAAATGACCAATTTATTACTGTTTTGGGTGTTTTTTTTGGAGGGATTATTATTATTAATGATCAGTCTGTAAAAGGCAGATCATGGAACTCCAAGGGTATTGTGAAATGTAGATCATATATGACAGAACCAAGTTTGATAGGTAAGAAAATAATCAATTACATTTACAAGGACTTGCAGTTATTTTCCAGGTTTCACATAAAAGATGGTTTCTTCTAATTAATTAATTGAATGAAAAGCAAGCTAGTGTCATAGATAGAAAATTAACTGGAAACAAGGCGGAGTTCAGATAAAAAATGTCTAACTGGGGACTGACAAGTGGTGTTTGTTCAAGATGACAATAATTTAGGAGATACAATTTTGTGAAGGAAGCAGAAAATTGCATTGCAAAGGGATATAAAAGTAGATAAAGTTCAACGTAGCAGACAACGGAGCAAAAAGATAGCATATCTTGTACAGATCAGCAGATGGAAATTTATTCAGTGGGGAATCCATTCTCAGTGGAGTGGGATAGATGAAGGGAGAGGGGTCCACAGTTATTTCATTAAAGGCCACTTTTGAGGTACAGAAAGCAGAAATGATAGAATGAAATGCTCAGTGTTATTACAAGAGGTCTAGAATTTGAAAGTACGTAAAGAGTAATGCAATTTAGAGAACGCTGGTCAGATCACCTTTTGAATAATCAGTTTTTCACATCTCAATTTATAAAGATATCCAGCACCAATTCATCAGACTTGTATCTGGGATGAAAGACCACTGTTTTGATAGCATTGGGGGGTAATCAATAATATTTACCGGATGTGAGGAAGTTAAGGGGTGAGATGAGTAAGGATTTTAAGATTAAGAAGGGGATTAACAAGGTTAATAGGAAACCATTCCTCATTTTACTAGATAAATCTAGAATGAGGGAACAAAATCAAAACAAATACAGAAATATTTTCTTCACATAAGGGATGTGAGAATGTGGAAATATCTCTGACAAGTCCAGAGGAAGTATTGGGTTATTTAAGATAGAGATAGATACTTGGACGATGGAAGAAAATTTAGGAAATGGAATTAGAAAGGTAAGCATTAACATGAATTTATAAAATGCCAGAGTAGAGCTAAATGGCCCACTTCCAGTTGTCATACAAGTGAGAGTTTATCACCTGAACACTACTCTCCTTAAAGTTAAACAATTGCTTGATGATAAATATCCAATTGCATATTCACACCAAAGCTCCACTTCTCCAATGGTTTCTGCTTTCCCACAAAGTGTCACTTGGTCGGAATACACAGATGCAGGCTGGAAGAAACCAGGACTTTAGACAGCATCAAAACACTTCTTTATTTCTTTATGTAAACTAGATAAACCCACACATCTTATCAGTACAAATGCAATTGTAAGATTTCCATTGCTTGTCCAATAAGGACGTTCCTGACTTTAGAGTGAGAGACAAGGAGATTGTGGATTTCACTAAAAAAGACCAAATGGATTAGAACTTGTCTGCTCCTTTGAGATTAATCCTCACCACATAAACACCAGCACCTTAGGACTCCCTCCTGACATGAAAGGTGCTATACAAATGTCATTTTGTATTGTATATTGTATTTAGCACAATAAAAATCTGTGGCTTTATTTCAATTCACTAAGTGCAAATCTATTGTAGAACAGATCTGGATTTTATTCTCTACAAAATCCAAAGATAAATACAAATACCATAAGGATAGAAACATCGTACAAACATTGACAAATGTGAGAATACAAAGGCTCCATTTACATTTCCTTAATTTTTTCTTTCATCAGTTGATGTATCTGACAAATTACAATTCAACTTTTTGTAATACATGTATTTTGATGATTTTGAAACAAAAGCTGTAACTGTGCTCTGATCAGTTATTCAGCTCCAGATAATTATACAAAAAGCTTTATGTACATTTTCCACCATCATTGTTTCTTCTTAGAGGTTACACATCAACTTTTTAATCCAATGGCATTAGCTTCAGCTTCTTTCTCCAGACCCTCCACGATTTCCTTCAGTTTGTCGGGATTTTGAAAGAAATGGATATAAAGATTTCTCTCATGTTGAAGATGCAAGTTGCTCTCCAAAATCTGACGCTTTGGCTTGATTTCACTGTCAATATCCATAAGGATCTGGGTGACTTTCTGCAATTGGCTTTCCAATTTTTGGAAGGAGCCTGACAGATTCTACAAGACAAAAGAAATACATGCATGTGGAGATTAGAATACAAAATAGGTAATGCTAAACTAATTAATAAATAGTAAGACCAGTTAGAATACTGTGTCCAGTTTTGGTCACCCCAATATAGGAAAGACATATAGTTTCTCTTGTCTGGTTGAGGCAAATTAGTGGAAATTTACATTATGGATACAACAAATTACATTTGTATAGCGCCTTACACGTCATTCCCTAGTAACTGAAGCAGAGGCTCATTTCATGAGACTGGGCTCTATTATATAACATCTTATGATGCAAATGTTGCCAACTCTCCAACCATCATCACAACAATGTCCTTGATACAACACTGGAGCAACCCTCAAGAATTGCCTCATTGTACCTGTATGCATGTACTCAGGAAGCTGGCAACCATTCTCAGAGGTTTCCAGAGGTTGTTGGGCACTGCCAGATACCAGGAGGCCTCCTGCATCTGCTTGGTAAGCAACATTTAGGTGTTTCCCTTCCAAAGACCAAACATAACATTTACAGGTTATGGAGGGAGCAGGTGAGCCAGATGAAATGGAGCGAGGGAGGGGGGACATGGTCCAGTCGTTCATCAATATATGAGCTAGTTCATCAGTGCTGAAAGCCACACACGTGTAGCATTTCAGTATGCAGCAGATCCATAATCCTTACAATAACTGAAACCATGCTGTACCAGGGTAAGTTTATACAACTGCAAGGTTGACTCTCAAACAGTTTGAAATATAATCTTGAAAGCTCCTGGACTACTGTAGAATTATACTATCTCAAATCAAAATGTCAAGATGATTCCAAAACTATTCCTTACGTAGGACTCCAGCATGATTTGCATTACTCAACCTTAATTTATTACACTTATCACAATAATTTGATCCAAAATTATTAAAGTTAGCGGTGAAACACATAGTATAAAACCAGCATGTAAAAAGAGCGAGGAATAAATATCTGAACTAAATTGGAATGCACTGCATGAAAGGGTGGTGGAAACAGATTCAATAACAACTTTCAAAAGGGAATTGGATAGATACTTGAAGAGGAAATATTTGCAAGCTATGGGGAAAGAGCAGGGGAGTGGGACTGATTGGGTAGCTCTTCCAAAGAGCTGGCAAGGGCAACAACAACTTGGGTTTATATAGCGCCCTCCACGCCGGACGGCATCTCAGAGCGCTTCTCAGTAACGGATCCGGGGACCGAGCCAGGGGGAGGAAGGTGACCAAAGGCGCGGTCGAAAAGAAAGATCTTCAGCCGAGACCTGAAAATAGGCGAAGGGAGAGAGGAAGGGAGTTCCAGAGCCTTGGGGTATAGTGGCTGAAGGCACGGCCGCCGATGGTGGAGCGGAGGATTCAGAGACAAGGAGCAGGACAGACCCGGTGGAGCAAAGGCAACGGGGACTGTTGTGAGGAGAGAGGAGGTCAGAGAGGTAGGGGTGCAGAGGAGTGGAGGGATTTGAAGACAAGAGTGAGGATCTTGAAATCGATCCTCTCTGGGACAGGCAGCCAGTGCAGTCCGGCAAGGACTGGGGTAATCAGGGAGCGGAGTTTGGTGCGGGTAAGAATGCGGGCGGCAGAGTTTTGGATGACTTGGATTTCATGAATGGCAGTGGAGGGGAGACCGGCGAGGAGGGCATCTGAATAATCTCCAGCCGAGAGGTGACAAAGGCATGGACCAAGGTTTCAGCGGCTTTTGGAGTGAAGTATCCCGCAGGTAACCAGGTGAGAGCGAGGTACCCCAAGGACCAAGGGCCAAATCGCCTCCTTCTGTGCTGTAATATTGTATGATTCTATGATAAACTATTTTAGTTAATAAAATTCTATGTTTAAATAAACCCATAATACAGTACTTCATTAAAAATAGATAAGATTTTACTTGCAAGAATTTGCAAGTGCTGGTGGACCTGGGGACAACTCAGACCAGCCCAGAGCCTACCTCCCTGATGTGTGACATCTACGATAGCCAATGAGGGGCAGGCTCCTCTCCTTGAGCCTCCCTGAGGCCAAGTGCCTCTAGCTACAACATTATCAAATCGATATAAGATATCTAAAGGGAAAACCAATGGCTAGTGCCCCCCCGCCCCAATGACAACATGGAGGGGAGGGAAGTATTTCCTCCCAACATGAAACAACAAAATTACATTTGTATAGCACCTTTCACGTTGGGAGGACATCCCTATATAAACAAATGCAAGGATTATTATTAATTTGTTGCTGTTCACAGCATCCTAACGTAACAAATATTAAACTTAATTTATTTTTGGCCCAGCATTCCATGAAACATTAATATTATTATAATCATAACTAAGATCGAGTAATACAAATCGTAACGATGGTGGAAGTAAAAAGCTTCCACCATTGTCAACGATGGCAAGGGTAGATTTGTTAAAAGTGCTGCTACCCAAGTCAAAGATGATCCTCTCCCTCCTGCCATTCCTGTCCAGGCCGTAAGCAACAGTGGATGCTGTTGGCTTGTTGATGATTTGGAGGACATTGAGCCCGACGATGCCTAGCGCTGAGAATGATTGAAGTATTGCTTGGCTAAATTCATTCCCCACCCCCCATTGTAAAAAGCTTCTACGGTTTAAACATTAATGTTACTATACTCAGAAGTGTAAACTTTAACACAATTTTTAAATAGACTAAAAATATAATTTGTGTACCTCAGAATGAAGTAAAAGCTGCTTTGGCCCAGAATACATCACACAACGAAGTCTCTCTATATCTGATTCCAAGGAAGACCGTAGATAGGATTCATCACTTCTGTTCTTCTCCAACTGGTACCGCAATGAGGCAGCTTCATTCTGTAACATTTTACCTTGTTCTTCCAAGTGATCATAAGTTCTAAATAGCTGTTCTCTGTTGTCTCCATCCAAAATCTGACACAGTCTGAAGTAAGAAAACAAAAATCACATTTCAAAAGGGCTCTAAAGAGATTAAACCGCAGCCATGGAGCATTCGTTTTTCCTATTTTGTTGACTAGTGTTTGTTTGGGTGTGCTTTGAAAAAGCAAGATGAAAAAAGGGAAAGAGCAAAATACTGGAGCTGGATTTCATGTAAACATAGCACACAATAATTAAGGATTTTTGCAATTGCTGGGCAACAATCCCTTAGAAAATAGTGGAATTTTATCTAGGGAATTAAGACTAATTTGTCCTTTTTAATTTATTCTCTAATAGCTCACTAAGGTGGCTGAATAAAATTGCTGTCCCTATTAATCTGCTAAATTTGAATTGTTGGAAGTATTGAATTGAGAATTTGCTGTGTCTTTCACTTTGTAGGAGAGAAGAGAATTTCTAGGGTCGCCATCCTTCAGATGAGACATTAAACCGATCTGACTGTTCAGGTAAAATTCCATGGCACGGGAGTTTTCCTCAGCATCCTGGCTGAAAATCCCCAAAATAAAATTGGTCACTCACCCCATGGCCGTCTGTGGGAAACTGTGTACAAATTGGCTGCCGAGATTCGCCCACAAAATACAAGTCACTCCACTTTGTAGCACATTCTGTGAAGCGCTTTGAGACATTTCAATGACATAAGGCGCTGGATCAAATGCAAGGATTTTTATGATTATTATTTTCAATTCCTGATGAGTCTAAAAATTATGCCATGTATTCTCCCCTCCCAGTGTTAAGAGAAGCACCTCTCCTCCATTAACCTTCTTCAAGGCAGGAAACAAAAGGAATCTGAGTTTTACTCAATATAATTCCTTAGAGGATGAATTCACTTACTGTTGCAAGATAAGCAACTTTAAGGGGAATAATGTGACAGCATATTAGTAATCTAATGTATTTATTGCTTCATTGCTGCATTTAGAAGCACAGCAGAACCTGGGTTATAAATTAGGGTCCATAAAATGCTAACCTGCTTCAAAAGAAAGTGCAACCAGCGGACCCCCCCACCCCCCACACTAAATAAAAATTCAACTTCTGGTTGATTGGTCGCCACCAACATTACTAGCAAACACGACCAGTGACAGGAAGTGACATTGGCAGCAACTCAATGACCCACAAGACTACCATTTATTAATGGTATGTGTATGACACATGCGCCAATGACATTACAGTAATCCAACAATATAAGGGAATGACTTATATTTCATACAATATATATAATATATGTATATCATTTAAAAATACAGTACATGCAACAAAGGTGTCAATTACATTTCTATTCCAGAATGTTAACCTTAATGTTACCTGATAGCAGAAGTATCTCTTGAATCAATGATGTTCCGCTGTCTGTTGCTTTGCACGAGACACTGATCAGACAGTACCTTCAAACATTGGGCAAGCTCATTCCTGATCCGCTCAAGTTCCTGAGTAAGGTTTTCAAGCACACAATGGATATCTCTGTGACTTCGTGACTCCATTTCATATCCTAGCTGAAGAAGTTCAAAACGGGTTTTCTGTCTGATCAGCTGGCGAGCTACTTCATCCTGCTTAGAGGTGTAATAGTCTTGTCGAGTCACCTGAAGGTCAAAATTGCCTTTTACTACAGGCATATTTAAGAGTTGTGCATTCTCAACAATCAAGTCGGGCAGTTCTTTATTAATCAGCTGTTCCACTTGGCAGCTTATCTCTTTCAGGCATTTAACACCTTCGCTTTGGGTTTCTTTTTCTCCATCATTCACCTATTTTTAAAAAAAATTACAAAGTTAAACATCAAAAAGACTGCAAGAAGGACCATACTTCCAGAATCCTATTAGCTTCCTATAACAGTGTCAAGCTGTTTTAAAATACTATAAGTCCTGTGTCCTGGCCTCAACCATCCAACCACCTTCTTTGTAACTCGTTCCAACTGTTGATTGCCCCCTGTGGGAGTTGGTGTCTGTTCTAAAACAGATTTTAAATCCCTGAAGCTGTGCACATTTTGTCTGTTTATTTGGTGTATCTGAAAGCATTATTTACTTACCAAAATAAGCAACCTTAAGTGTGCCAGTGGCAGGGTGAGGGGGCGCAAAAGTGAGAAAATTATTTAAATTCATATAGTGCTTATATTAAGTTAGTGCACATAAATTATCCCACAGAACTCCACAGAATGAGATTAAATATAAATGTATGTTGTTATGGACATAAACTAAATACAAGCAACTCATTTGTGATGAGTAGCCATGAGTAGAATTAGAGTCTCTGGGATGAGGAGGGTATATAAGCATCCTCTCTTTTGCTTCGACAACCCTTCTACGAACCAACCTCTTTGACTACATCTTTGGTAATCTCCCCTACTCCCTTTTATCTCCTCACTCTGTGCTCAGCGCCCCTACTCAGTCTCCAAAAAGCATTTTTTAAACATTACCTTACATAAACACCACTAGATAAGTAGCAGTTATTGTTGCTTATCTAGTTCGAATGATGTTGTTCAGAATAGTCAACAAATGCACTGCCACAGGTATTGGTGTTATGTAAATTTTTTCCTAGTTTCCTAATAATATTCATTTGAAATAGGTGCCTCGGAAGAAACAACCAGAAGAGCGGTTTCATGGAATAACATTCAAGAGACAATAGTATTTATCAGGCATTTATAGGCAAATTAAGTTACAAAATCTTCACAGATACTGTGCCCATCCCAAAATAACCAGCTACAATATTATTTTAAAAAATGACCTACCTTTCTCTTTTGTATTAGAGAGAAAATCTTCTCCGCATACTGAACACCAGCTTTGGTGCTTTGCTCTTTGGCTTTTGCCAGAATTAACTGGCGCTTGCCACTTGTGTATGCTGCTTGGAGTCTGGTCATCTGTTGCTGATATTCCCTGCGTACCTCATTACTCTCTTCCAGCAATGTTTGACAACTTAAATCCACCAGCTGAAATTTGTCCACATCCGAACTCTCGACCAGCTCCACTATGCCTTCAAAAAATTGCTTCTTTGTGTAGGCTGTGAGAGCTGCTGTGCATTGTTCTTCCTTTTGCAGATAATTGTTCAATAGAAGTTGTGACAGAAAGACTTTAGGCTGGCCTGCTTTCATTTCTGATCCAATATTTGAGTACAAAACAGTCAACTGCTGCACCCCTTCAATGATTTTCAACAGAATAGCATTTAATTTGGCATTCTCAGCAGATAATTGCTCCTGTGTCTCTATTAACAGTTTGGTACTTTCATCCTTTTCATCCTTCAGTGGTACAAGATGGATTGCTGAAGTCATTAATTGCTGCTTATTTCGTCTCTGGATTTTAAGATTTCGAAGTGACTGTAATGTTTTTACTTCTTCTTCTAATTCCTCACCTGATATTTCTGCCAGGTCACCATATTTTGAATCAGATTCTTTAGGATACGTCTGCAAGATTGGATCTAAGGCTTTCTGATCAAATAGAGATTTCCCAGATTTTTTAAGTTTTTCAAATTCATCCACTTCTTCTGTGGTTAACACATTCTGTTCATTTATACCTTTGCAGAACCATTCCAGAAATGTCTTTTTATCTCCGCTGTCAAACAACCAATCAAAATCTTCCCCATCCAGATGAGTTGCTTTAGGCTCACCAATTTTCTTTAGTGTTTCTACAAATATCTTCCCACCGCTCATGGTGGTAATCAAACTATGATTTATTTTAAGACTCTGACCAAGGGAGTCTTAAAATATCCAATCGCACCACAGTGGAATGCTGAAAATCTGTTTTAATCCCAAAGCAGAAACGATAAAGAGTTAACATAAAAGTATTTACATAGTACAAAAGAGAAGCATTCCTAAAATCAAACCAAAGCTCACCGGGATAACCTTTCTCTGAGGCATTAAAATTCACTGAATGGTTAGCTTAAAATAACTCATTTGATGTTTAGCTTGGATTTTAATTCATACGAATCCTGTCAAACGTTGCTTTAAAATTGTGCCGAAACCTGGATGAATATACAGAATGTATTTTATCATATTATAATTTCTTCCAAAGAAGATGTAAAACAAAATATTCACAAAAGTTTTTAAAAAAGCTGTACGTTGGGTGCTATTTCCTCAGTGTGTAAGTTCAAAATATAGTCCAAATATGCTATATAGACCCAATTTCTTCATCCTTTACTAAAATCTGGAGATATTACCCAATCTAAATGAAACTCAAATTCCACTGATTTGCCTATTCCTAGTGTAGAGTTAGAGAACAGGCGGGAAAAAGACCCATTATAGAAATGCAATATTGGTAAGTTTCCATAGATTTTAGCACAACAGAATTTTTGCAATTTGCAAAAAACACTAGATGCATGACCTCTGTAAAGTTAAGCATTGTTCGATAAGAAACTCAACTGGAGTATACACACTCAAAATAGCTACAATTCTGGCCAGCAGCAGTAACCTTTATCACAGAGAAGACTGCTAAATGCTCCTTTTCAGAAAATAAAGATAGTGAGGCACACTTTGTAAAATGACAAGTCTCATATCGCCTTTCGATTTTTGAATAGTTTCATGATTAAATGTTTTTTTTAAAAAAGAGAAATGCACACTGTAGCAGACTGCGATACATTGCCCGCAAAATGCTAAGACAATGTTTGTGACTACAGTAAACTCCAGATAACTCGTCACTCTGAGGGAAGAGAGCTCATCAGCAAGTTATCCAGAGTGGCAAGTTACGGATAGGTCTACAAAGTGGCTCTGTGACTGGTGTAGGCACCCGGTGGAGGTTGGGTGAGCATGCTCAAATACATCGCAGAGGCCTCTGGCATATTGGAGGGCCATGAGCTGTCACAGGATAGGGCAGTAGGCCACAGAGCAGCCCTCCAATAGACTAGGGGCCACTGCGATGCATCTGAGCACGCATGCAAAACCTCCGCCGAGTGCAGTCACAGGAGGCCACTGTCATATAAGACACCATCTGATAGGACAAGTTACCTGATCAATTTTACATTGTTTAAGTACTTCAAGAATTTCGAGAATGCGACTAGTTACATTAGATGTACAATGACAAGTAAAGCAGAGTCCTTTATTAACATTTTGCCGGGATAGACTGCATAATAATCCTTGCATTTGATATAGCGCTTTTCACGTCAGGAGGACGTCCCAAAGCGCTTCACAGAACACACTGTAAAGTGAATTGACTGTATATTTGTGGGCGAACACGGCAGCCAATTGCGCACAGCAATGTCACACAAACAGTCGTTGATTGAAAATGACCAATTTCTTATTGTTTTTGGAGGGATTATTATTATTATTATGCATGGCAACTTAAGTGGTAGTGACAAGTTAAGTCAGTGTCGAGTTATCAGCAGTTTACTTATATATTGCAGTTTACAGTTTACTTTAGGTGCAATTTCATGTCAAGTTTGTACCACAGCAACTCTACAAATTGCACATAGACATACAAAAACATTTTTCTTACTGCCTAACAAACTTTAATAATATTACAAATGCACATTTCTTGCAATATTGTGAAGATGAATCAATTGGAATGGGAAAATTGCCCAATAATACAATGCAGTAAAAAGAATTATCTGCACCTTGTTCCCCTCAAACATCCTCAATTCAAGTCCTCTGAATTTCTCTCTCCTCACTTGCCTGACGTCAATGTATCCATCAATCTAGCTACTCATTCACGACCTCACCTCCAAATTCATCTCGTCATTAACAATCCCAAATTGTCTCCCATTTCTGCCAGGCCACTTGATACTCTGTCCCAAGTCTGTGCATCAGACCATACATGATCTTAAAACTAGATCTAGGCCATTTAGGAGTGAAATCAGGAAGCACTTTTTCAAACAAAGGGTATTGGAAATCTGGAACTCTCTCCCCCAAAAGGCTATGGATGCTGGAATCAATTCAAATTTTCAAGACCGAGGTCGATAGATTTTTGTTCGGTAAGAGTATCAAGCGATATGGAGCAAAGGCGGATAAATGGAGTTGAGGTACAGATCAGCCATGATCTAATCAAATGGCAAAACAGGCTCAAAGGCCCAGTCCTGTTCCTGTGTTCCAGAATCGAATATCGCTTAACGATCCATAAATGGTGAGTTTTGATGTGGTCCAGATCTTGCCACCCACCATCTCTCTGTCTTCTCAGCCAAGTCCTCATTTCTCATCTCGACCACTGACTACCTCCTCCCAACCTTCCCACGCTCCTGCCCTCCTCATCTCTGGCACCAAATATACGGTCGCGAACTTTCTGGTGTCCAAAGTTAATAACATCTATTCAGCTGCCTCTGCTTGCTCCACCTCCAGTCCTCCCATTCCGTCGCACCTTCAAACACATTTCCCCCTTCGCCATCCCTCATACAAAATCTACCACATCCCTCCTTGACCCCTTTCCCAAGATGTCTTGATGGCCCAGCTTCTTATACTCTTTCTCTCCCATCATTCCCTACAAGTTGGTTTCCCACAGTACTGAGACAACCCTCATCCCAGTCACAAATCACATCCGCTTCGTCTGACCAGTAACGATTTCCACCACTTTGCACCCAGAGCACGTAGTGCTTGAGGTGTGATGGGTTGTTGGAGGAGATGCTAAACCATGGGCCCTGTTCAGATGGACATAAATAATCCCAAGGCACTACCAACTACAAGGATGATAACTCTCCTGAAATCCTCGCCCCAAATTCCCACATTGCCTCTGGGAAGCGCTTTGACATGTGAACATGTGGGACGTCCTCCTGACGTGAAA